ATAAATAATAGAATAGCATAATTTTCCCTAAAATAATAGCTCCAAATTCATTATGAATAAAATTTTTATTTTTTGTACTCATTCAAAACTACTGTTTTTTAAACTTTTTTCACTTAAACTACATTTTATTAATGAAGTTTATTCAACTTTAATGCCTTCTAATGACAATAATGATAACCATATATTATCTATTTTCATTCCTTTGCTATCATTAATATTAATTTTTTTCTTGATATTTTTAATTCTAAATATTCCTTCAACTTTCTTTTATAATTTATTGTTCTTCTATTTTAAAATTTAATTTTATCTAAATTTATTTCACAACCTACTAAATTAGAATGTTTTGCCATTACATAATTTTTTGTATTTGTATTTTATTGCTCTAATATGTCTACTACTATCATAGATGATAATTTTCCCATTTCCCAATATATATTTTTAGTATATCACAAACATTCCAACTTGTATACTACATTTTCCTTTTTAAATTTATTTTAACTGTATTGCCATAATTTTTTAAAGTATCATTTTTTATAATTTAATTTTTCATAACTTCAGTATATTCAGGAAAAATATATATAAATCACTAAATATTTTTTGAAGTTTTGAAAAAATGTATTTATTTTAATAAAATTAATTCTAAATATACAGTTTTGTTCACTTTCACATATATTTTTATTCTTTTTAAAATACTATCCATATATTTATCTAATAATTTTGTAGGGTATTCATTCAGCATAAACTTTTTAAAATATTACTTATCTCTACTTTTTTTTTTATAGATTTCTTCTTTAGTTTTGTTTAATATTTTTTCTACATGCATCTTAAAAATATTCAATTTTATGTATTGTGGAGATTTTTATTTATAATGAATTTATTTAAATTTTATTAAATTTGTATTGTATTTAAAAGAAGAAAATTATTTACAGAAAAATTTTAATTATTAATTGTAAATAAATAAGCAGCACACCTTGTATAACTCCAACAATATATTTAATCAACTAAGAACATTTTCAACCTACTTCCATAGGCCTTCTACAGTTGGAACATCAAACTTAAATAAAAAAAAGAACAAAATGAACATTTGAAAAACATATTAAATACAGCAGAAATAATTTAAATAAAAACGAATGTGAAGAACATTCTAAATCAATAAAACATTTGTACAATTTAAATACAAGAGATATAAAAATGTAATAGGCTCAATTATTGATTTATCCATTCCTTTAATGTCATTTACTGTAAACGGAGTTAAAGTTAAGGGTTACTCTAGAAATTTTAATGTTAATAGTACGTTTTGTCCAGTATTTAGTTCTTCAGCAAAACTAAGGTATGTTGAAAAAATTACTGAATTTGAACATATTAAAAAAAACTAAGGTTTTCTATTTAAAAAATCATACTTGCAGTTATTAAATCAAATACATAGTTTTGATTGCTTATTATAATTATTGTGTTTTGATGTCACTTACAATACTAATACATTTGTTTTATCTGGACATGAGTTTAAATTTTCCATCTTATAAAGTTTGTTGAAACATAGTTAAGATTAAATATATTGCTGGAGTTATGCAAGGTGTACTGTTTCTTTCATTTGGTTACTTCTCCAGCTTTGTCAAATAATTTTATTAAATATAAGTAATTAATTGGGCTTCTCTTAGTTTATAAACATATGTAGCATGTGTTTGATTTTATGAATTTTACTAGTTTATGAAAATGGTTTACTCCAACTGAAGGAGTTCTATGATTCTAAACCTACCTTATAAAATTCATCTGTAATCAGATAACTGATAACATCACTTATCAGTCTGAAAACCTCTTCAATTGGACTAAACCATATTCATAAACTTTTTCATAACATAAACAAAGCTTTGCTTTTTCCAATACTTAAATGCACATATTGGAGTTATTTGAAGAATAAAGGTTTAAATCTAGTCATATTCATGATTGTGCTTTTATAATTCACTTGTAGAATTCCACAATATGGCAATTATGTAAAAATTAATCCTGATTAATAGCCAAGATTGATAGCTATATTAGTGGAAGATACATATGTCTGAAGTCTGAGAACAAATCAAAAACATTCTACCAAAACAACATAAAAGGATGGATGTTAAGAACATGCATATAGTATAAAATGAAACAGTTTATTTTTTTGTGATTTCAAGTATTTCATAATAAAATATTTTATAAAAAATTATGATCTTTTATAAATTAATATATATTTCTATGATTCTAAACCTACCTTATAAAATTCATCTATAATTAGATGACTGATAAAATAATATAAGTGTAAAACTGATCTGACAACATATTTGATTTTTGTGATTAATATTAACTAATTAATAATTTAAATAAATAATTTTAGAAAATTTTATTTTAATAATAGCATTATTAAAAATTTAAATGCAAATACAATATTAAATAAATAATGGTCGAGTCATATTAATATAACCACCCCTACTTTTCATGGAAGCAGCATGTAGCCAATAAAATAAGGCATATGTATTGTGAGCTGGCTTGGTATATATAAAAAATAAGATGAGATGTAAGTAATGTGCAAATTTATCAATCATTGCTGTCATGAGTAAAAGGTGCAATTTATCAGATTTTCAAAAGGAGATGATTATCAGGTTTCAGGTCAAGGGTGGCAGGATTTCTGAAATTGCATAGTTTGTAAACTGTTTGCATGCTACTGTGGTTAAAGTGTACTGTGATTGGACAAATGGTACCATTGCAAATAAACAGCACGGAAACTGCAGAGCACCAAATGCCATTGATGAGAAGTAAACATCAGCTTTAAAGGAATGTGAAGGCCAACTGACATAAGTTGAGCAATTCACAGCCAAAATGAACCAAGGGACAATCAGATATATGTTTAAAACAACAATACAGCAAACCCTGTTATATATGTACGCAGATGAATGGTCACTACGTCCACATTGACAAAAGTGCATCAGCAGAAACAGCTTCAATTTGCACAGCAATACCAGAATTGGACATCATCTGAATGGCAAAGGTTTGCTTTTTCCAATGTGTCATGTTTTCTTCTCCATCAAATGAATGGACATTGGCATGTCAGGCAAGAAACCTCTGAGAAGAAACACTCTACCAGGGGTCGATCTAAAAAACTTTTTTTAAAAATCACCATTTTGCCAGTTTTAAATATTTTTTGCCACTTCAAATTATTTATTGCCACCAGTTTTACTTGCTGATTAAGATAGGTGGCGATAGTCTTATCAGTTTGGAATCTGGAAAGCAAAACCAACATGTTAAGCAGTCCCTCAAAAATAGAAATAATTTTTCAATTATTTTTTAATGAATAATCTTATAATATAATCGAGATAGGTTGATGATGATGGTGATGATAATAATAATAATAAGTGCAGAGTCCAAATTGTTAGGAGCTGAAAGTTGAAATTTGATACACAGTTAGGGTACGCCATGAGTAGGAATTTTTGGAAATTTCCCCCATTTGGAGAGGGAGAAGGTTAATGATTACCCTGAAGAGCTCGGCTTCTACTGTACTATTTTAGATGCAGTTTTTTTGCATTTTTGCGGGAAATCAAACATATTTTTAGACTCATCTAAAAATTCTCTAATTAGCCTCGGAATAGGGAGACCTAATTCTTGCACCCACAGAAAATAGATAAGATCATCTATATTACTACAAAGGTTATCTTATGTGAGGGTTTATCACACCAAGTGACCAATCTAACACATTTAAAAAATTCTTTATTCCTCTACTGTACACAATTTAAAGAATTTCTAAAATGTGTTAGATTGGCACTTGGTATGATAAACTCTTATTATACCAATATATTAAACCTTTGTAAATATAAATCAAATACTATAATATAATATAGTAAAAGATTAGAAATACAAATCAATCTAATAATCTTAATCTTTGCTGTTGTTATTTTTTGCTTGAGCAATGCTAGACTCATCTTCTAATTTCAAATAACACATTGATCACATTGCTTAAACAGCATTTTACATGTTCTATCATGTCAAAATTTTTATGCTTTAGTCTACTGAAAAAAGATCAAAGTAAAAAAATGACACCCCAAAATATTCCTCAAATTTTCTGTCAGTAGATAAAAAAATTCCCAATCTGGAAATGCTGAACGGCATTGCATGAAAACTTCCTTTAGTATTCAATGTCACTTCTTGCTTTCATGTCCAAATTTGCTGTGTGATGTCATGACATCACTATAGGTGTGGTGCACAGGACTCCCAGCACACAGGAGCTCAAAATTCTGCTGTTTTTCCTGAAGCATGCTTTGTGATTTAATTTCACAATGAATTTTGAAATAAGTAGCCTAGGGTTTTTATCGCCACTTTATTAAAAATATTGCCAAGTGGCAATTTTGGCGTGCTTTGCAGCACAACCCCTGCTCTACAACCTTTGCTGCAAGAACACAAACTGGTTTTGGCAGAGTTATGGTCTGGGGAATGTTTTTTTGCCATTGTCTAGACCCACTCATATCTCTGGAAAGTACTCTCAACCAAACTGGATATGTATCCATCCTTACAGAACAAAGTACACCCATATATGTTGATTGTCTTCTCTGGGGTGGATGGGATCTTCCAACATGACAATGCAACATGTCATACAGACAGAATTGTCTGAGAATGGTTGGAGGAGTATGACTAAGACTTCCAAATACTTCCCTGGCCCATTAATTCCCAGACTTAAACCCAACTGACCACCTTTGATGCTCCTTTCAGCAGCTTTCAGACACATTGTAATCTGCATGGCTGAAGATACTTATGGCAACCTTTCAGCATTTTACTGAATCAGTCTCATATCATCTAGCTACTGTCCATGCTGAAAAAGGCAATAATTCTGAATATTAGCTGGTGGTCATAATAAAGTGAATCAATTGTGTAGAATTTCAGTATAAACCAATTTTAAAATTACAATGGTTTACTTATATATTTATTATAAGTTGAAGTTTATCAATTTAAATAAAAAATATTCATTTCATAAATAAACATACCATTTTCCATGTTCCATTTACTAGATTGCAACAATCTTTGTTGGTTTGGAGTTTCATTCCTTTCAATTAAAAACAAAAATATTCAATTTATGAAAGTCAACAAATGCATTAAACTATAAGTGATTTTTTTAAGTTAAATTTAAAAATTTTATGAAAATCAGAATAATTATATAATAAATCTTACAATATTTAAATCATCAGAATTTGGAATTTGATATTCAGCATATTTAATGAAAATCAAATTCTAAATGGATCTACTTAGAATAATTTTATTTTCTAATAAAATATAGTTATTGATGAAATAAAAAAAAAAACCATCTTTCTAAACTGTTAGAAAGTTCATCATTCAATATTACTATTTTAAAAATTACATTTACGATTAACTATGTAATTGAAAATTTATTAACAGCTTGAAATATATGCAAAATTTCAAATTTATATATAAGATTTAAAATAAAATCTTAATTTTTATTTAAAAACAGATAATTGAAGTCTGTTATATTAAAAGTCTTTCAATTTTTACTATTTAACTTATGTCAATTTGTATTAATATAATTTTGCACAGATTGCCTTATTTAAAAATAAAATATCAAATATAAAATTGCATTAATGCAAAGAGAGATTTAGCAGTAAGCAATTCAACCACTTCATTCATAATGTGATAAATTACATACTAATAATTATTATTTGTTAAGTAATGAGTTTTAATCAGCAGCAGCACATGATAAGCAATGAGAGTATAACAAAATTGTGGGGACCATCAAAATATTTTCATTACACTGAAATTTGTTATATTGAAATAATCAAAAATGCAAGAATAAAAGAAATGTTTACATTTTGAAGTAAAAAAGTAAAGGAGAAAACCCAGAAAACTCCATCCAGTAATTTTGATTATTTTATCAAGGAAGTATAGTCATGCTTCAACTCTTTATTATTGCAAAAAAATATTATTGAAATGCTAAGAAATATATATGACAGTGATTTACATGCTACTAAAAGTAATGGTAACTCATCCCATTCTAACAAAGAATTTTTCTATCCAAAATATTGAACAGTAATGATTTGATTCCGATTGTGACTCTGATTTGAATAACTTATAAATATCTCCTTCAGCCTTCTTGCCATCATTTTTCTATTGACAGTAGGCTTCCATCAAAATTTTGAGGAAGCTTTAGCTCCACAAACCCCTCCTTGCCTATATGCCTTATGTGAATTTTTACAAATATGGATATGGTGTAGCTATTCTAAACAAAATGGCTTGGAAATACTTAGAAAAATAGGATCATGATGATCTTTGCACATCATGTACAATATTCTAGACATGATGGTCATAAATGCATAATTCTGTTCTATGAAAGTGCTGGCAAACAATAACATAAAGAGATTTTCTCTTTGCTTTAGCAAGAGATTGTAAAAAATTTATATGGAGATCAAAGCTGTTGAAATCTCACCACTCCCAACACTTACAAGAATAGTCAAATGCAAGCATTGCCATTGTCAGATAGGAAATGGAAGCAATGGAAATTAATGAAAATTCAGAGTATTGAGACATGTGCAAAAGAATGGTAGTCAGTGAACAGGAAGTATTCAGAATATTGTAACTGATGAAAAAATGTATGATCTATATAAGCAATTTTGCTACAATAATTTCAATATAAATTTTATAAATGTATTGTTTCTCAATTTGTAATACATATATTATTCACTATTACAATTTTATTACTAACTATATTGTTGAATTGTCTTCAATTTGCAGCAAATACTTAGTATTATTTAAATAAAAGATTAGAATTAATATTAAAACACTAATAGAAATCAGTTAATTCAATTCACAATTAATGGGTCAAAAATGACCACATCCAGCAATTATAGTACAAAGTGTTCAGTGGTTCTAGTATTAAGTAATTTCATATGAAGTTGTATAATTATGATTTGAGAACATAAAGAAAAAAACATTAATATGAGATAAAATAAACTGAACTTTTGGCACAGTATGGCACAGGAGAAAGTAGTATAGTATTACACATAATACTACTTTCAAAATGTGCTTCTACTGTAGCTATATCCTCCTGCCAGCATCTTACCATTTGTCAGAACAGTTTTGGAAGCTATTTTTTTGTGATGTCGATGTAGACTCTCATTGCTTCCACCTCTGCAACTCTTCAATTTTCTTTTCATTTTAGGAACAGATAAAAGTCTATGTGGACAGAATCAAAGAAGTAAGAAGATTGAAAAAGTATTTTTACAGTAAAACTCCGCTTAATGCTGCCTCGATTAATACTGATTCGATATAATGCAGTCTGGTTCTCGCACATATCTGACAGGTTTTGATATTTATCACATCTCGCCTCTTCTCGCCACATATTCTCGTTTGCTCAGAAAATTCGCTCACGTCTGCATAGTCACACCCGTATCGTGACATCATCAACAAAGACGAGATCATTACGAACCACTAGAATCGCCACTGTGTCTGAGAGACGAATCTCATCTCTCGCTTTGACATCATTCATTGGTGAAAGAAGAGACAAGAGACAAGTGACCAGAATACTGCCCCATAAGAATAGCAACTGCAAGAGGAACTGATTTCTGTGCCAATTAGTTCTATGTGACAGGTGGAAGTTGCAATGGTATGACAGATACAACACTCATAGGTCACTGAATGCCCACATACAGGTTGCAAGATGTAATTTCTTTTTCTGCCATGTAAACAAACACTTGTGCTAACAAGATAAAAAAAAGATTCATCATCATTGGGACTGCCTAAACTGGACTGCTGACCAGTGGAATCAACTTATCTTGGACACATTTCTAGCAGCTACACCATGTTACAAAATATAAAGTGTAAAATGAACATTTAGAACAATTGACTTCTAACACAAATCTTCTGTAGAAGCCTGAAGCTAGCAACTAAATGAGAGCCGAAAATATTTGCACTTTATATTTCACAATGTGGTGTTACTGCTGCAAACTTGTGCAAGATTAACATAAGTTAATGTATTAATTCCAGCTTTATGTATATTCTTCAGTAGCATCAAATTCTGTAATCAGCTAAATCATCTTTTTTGATATTGTACAGAAACACTGGATGAAGAGTGCAGCAACAATGACATTCACAAATTTCCAGCAACAGTTCAGATCTGGACTTGTTTTGGTCATTCCAGAGTGGGAAGCATAACTGCATACAACCACTCCATCAACACCAACAAAAACCAGCTAATTTTACAGGACCACCGCCTTCCTTCCATTGCTTGTCTGCATCCAGCCGACAGATACATTTCCCAGAAAAATCTAGCCAAGCTGCAGACAACATGTTCAACAAAAGCATGGCTACAACAGTACAATATGTCAGCTATGGACTAGATCTAGAACTCACTAGATATGAACCTTGGGGATTTACAATGTTACTTGAAAAAAATAAGTTTGCAAGAAGAAAGCTTGATTCATCATCACTTGCATTCCTTTGGGAGGAGTGGATAAAAATTCTCATCGAGGTCTGTGAAAAGCTTGTAGACTCCATGCCACAAGCAAGTGTGGGACTTGAATAGAGCAAAAGGAGGACCAATGAAATAATAATGATTGTTTTGTACAATTGGCCAAAACATTTGGTTATTTGTTTTTCATTAGTTTTGCTATTTGCATTTCTGGATGAGTTATCCAACTGTCCTTTACAAAACATAACTATGTTTTTGTTTTGTTACTATACCTACATAATATATAAAACATATTTTTGCATTCTTTTATCATGTTCTTTCCACACAGTTCCTAACATTCAACAGAAGTGCTCTGGTAAAACATTAGTGCCATGAATGGAATATATAATCAATGCCTAAAAGAATTACAATGAAATAATAGAGAGGTTGAGGCGCACGTTTTAAACGTGTAAACGTGTACGTGTGACGTTCGGCGCCGCTTTCCCGTAAGCCTAAAAGTTTGACGATGGTGTTTGGAATGTCGAGCGTAATTCCACCGACTATCCAAACACCATTGTCAAACTTTTAGGCTTACGGGAAAGCGGCGCCGAACGTCACACGTACACGTTTACACGTTTAAAACGTGCGCCTCAACCTCTCTATTATTTCATTGTAATTCTTTTAGGCATTGATTATATATTCCATTCATGGCACTAATGTTTTACCAGAGCACTTCTGTTGAATGTTAGGAACTGTGTGGAAAGAACATGATAAAAGAATGCAAAAATATGTTTTATATATTATGTAGGTATAGTAACAAAACAAAAACATAGTTATGTTTTGTAAAGGACAGTTGGATAACTCATCCAGAAATGCAAATAGCAAAACTAATGAAAAACAAATAACCAAATGTTTTGGCCAATTGTACAAAACAATCATTATTATTTCATTGGTCCTCCTTTTGCTCTATTCAAGTCCCACACTTGCTTGTGGCATGGAGTCTACAAGCTTTTCACAGACCTCGATGAGAATTTTTATCCACTCCTCCCAAAGGAATGCAAGTGATGATGAATCAAGCTTTCTTCTTGCAAACTTATTTTNTTGTATATATTTTAATATGATTTTATGTGCTTTAAACGTTTATCTAGTGATATTACGACTTCAATATTTGTGGCGGACAGACGTAAAGTCGAATAAAATGACTTAAACTTGATTTTTATTTTTCCATATACTTTTTTAACAAGCGACGTATAATCGGGAACGACGTAACTCGAAACAACGTAAGTCGAGGTATGCCTGTAGTTATAACTGAAAAGCCATTCTAAAATTATTAACTTACACTTACATTAATAAAGCCTTCCTTAATTCCTGTCTTTCTTTATTTTCTAGAGGTTCATCAGAAGTACATGGGATTACATCAGCTTCAGTATATCTTTCAATAGTTAGGGGAAAAATATTCTAAATTTTTCTTTCATAATATTCTATTATATTTAAGGAATTTTAGATAATTGATATTATTTAATATAATAATTACAGATTATTATACAAGATGTTGATATAATTTAATCCTGTTTATAATGTTTAATTTAGATTATTTATCATTTGCAAATTTTATTTTAAAGAATTTTAAGCTAAAAATTAAACAAAGACAATGAGAAAAGAACATTCTCATAAAAAAAATTCTAATTCATTCAAAATGAGAAAGAATAAGAAATAAAGATTTAAGAAAAATGGTACAGATTCAAAAGACTGCAGGAAAGCTTTAAGAAACTAAAGAGATTCCCATATGAAAACGAGTTTCCAGTGACTGCAGCCTCTTGAGTAGCATTGTTTGAGTCCATTTCTGTTCAAGCATCTTTTTTGAAAGTTCCATGGTATGCTTTCCTTTCACTATGTCATCCTGGTGCTCAGCTAGGTGGCTAACAAGCTTTTGTATTGTGGCCCCAATGTACAGTACCTTGTGTTCACCCCATTACAGGATTCTTCAACAGTATAGCATAAACTCCTGATTTTTCAAAAGTGAAGAATTTATCCCAATCATTACAAATGAGTCTGCACAAATTCGTTAGTACAGATAGGGGCAGGAAAAAGTTATCTTGCCTGAACATACAGCAAATGCATACAGAAAGGGGTCCAAGGTATAGTAATGGTAGTTAAACTATTTCCAAATGCATTTGCCAATTAGTTGACAAACATCTGTAAGTCAGGACTCCCTCTTCAGGCAATCTTGTAAAGATTCCATGATTGACATCAGAGCTGAAAATTATCATCTTAAACAGGCAATCATATGAAAAAAATTGTAATGAAAACTTGTGCAAGATAAAAAATTTCCACAGCAATTTTTTAGGGTCCTATGGCCCTCAAAAAATTTATAAGCAGAAAAAATTTTTTCAACTGAAATTTTTACACAGTCAGATAGACAGCATGTTTCATGAAGATATCATGGGAATACAGCTAATTTGGTGAAAAATTACTGCAAAAAACTAGTAGTTGCAGAAAACACTGCTAGAATATATGATCACAGATTAAGTGAAATGATGACTATTTCATTTGTGTCCTCATTGAATATATGGCAATGTTGATCAAAATTCAATTTTGGCATTTGCTTTACTATATACTTTTAAATCATCCATATAAAGTAAATGGGTTATTTTCATACTTTCATTCATGATTTGGTAATCACAGTCAGTTTTGTTTTGAACTTACATGAAAGAATTAATACTAGTATAAATAGTAAGAGTGACAATAAGCTACATTCAAAAGGAAGAAGTTGAGAATTTTTCCCAGGCCAGATTTGAATGCCCTGTACAGATCTGTAATTGTCACAATCATTGCTTTTTTCCTCATTTTTTTTCATATTAAAAATTTACGTACTTCTGTCATATATTCTTCAATTGTTGTTTGCAACTTTATTTCTATCCTGGCATTTAGACTTGTCAGATGTATCAGCCAAAAACCATGAGTTCATTTTTTTCCAAAGCATTCCAATTTTGACTCTTATTTGGACAATCTTTAAAGCAGGGCTGTGGAGTCGCGTAAAAATCTACCGACTCCAACTCCGACTTTTCCTTACCATCCAATTCTGACTCCAACCAGGGGTGGACTTGCTACCGAAAAAAACCCAAAAATTCTGATGTCATCACGTGACCTCAGAATAAAAGATTCAATAAATAGAGTTCTAATAAAGATAGAGCATAGAAACTTTTTATTTCAAAGCTAAAAGACTTCTCTAAGTAATATATAAATATGTATTCGATAATTTTTACTTTTCCAGCTGTTATATGTAACAGAGGAAAAGTGTAGCGCTCCCTCAAAAAATGACCCCTCCCAAATTTTTACAGTTTTGGACTCGGGACACCTTGAAATTTCGAGATATGCAAAAGATTCGAGGTTTTTTCTATATGTGTGGATGTTAGACTGTGTGGGAGGGAGCATGATTTTGTTCACCCTGTTTGAAGCCTAATAACTTCTGTGGTCAGAGTGGTCAGAATTGGAGTCAGATGGTTTAACACAGGAGTTATTAAGCATGAAAGTGGTTAGTTATTAAGCATGAAAGTGGTTGAACTAAATCATGTCCCCATATACATTCTAACGTCTTCGGCGAGAACATCTTAACGGGTTTTACTGTACTATTATAAAATGGCTAAAAAGCTTACTTTGAGGGTAGAGCCAAGTTTTATTATTATTATTTTTTATTTTGAATGCTAATAACGAGTAAAATATTCATTAAGAGATATGACACATGACCACTTTTAGGTCTTCATCCTGTTGACCTTTAATTAAGAACTAAAATTTAATAGTATTAATGCCCCTTTATACACAAGCTACAGTGCCTCATTTCATTTCTTAAACTTTACCCATTCTGAGATATTGTTTAATATCTCAGAACATAAAATAAAGAAATTAAACAAATTAGATGCCAACACACACATGCGCGTGAATTTTTCCCCTTTACTGACTATTTTGAGGGGGTTTGGGAGGTCTCCAAACATACATATTTGCAAAAAAAAACTTGGAGGGTCAAATTTGACACAATTCCAATACTTTTCCATTTTATATACATAACAAGTTGGTAGGTAAAAAGGAGTTGGAGTTGGCAGATTTTTTGACGACTCAGACGGGTAAAACACCAAAACTCCACAACTCTGACTCCGAAGCCCTGCTTTAAAGTCATCACTATATATTCCATTTGCTATCTTACAATTTTTTTACTTTGTTAATTTATTATTGATTTTATTATGCTCTATTATTTTCTCAAAAATTTTCCAAAATTTAATAATTTTCTTATTATTCAGACTGAGAAGTTCTTAATCCCTATAATATATTGATTTACAAGAATAAGCTTGACTCTTTTTAAGAGAGCTTTGCTTTAAATTGTTCAAATTATATTTTCTTAAAGTGTTTTAATTTTCTGTTCTAATTGGATTTTCTATTTGGTTTCCCTTTTGAAATGTTTCTGGTTTCTTTATTTTAATTTCATTCAAGTCCTGTTGTAACTCCAAAAGCAATGTAATACAAAAACAATTTCAAAAACAAATGAGCATATTATTTATTGTGACATCATCACAATGCCGGGCTGCAATTTTTAATCATATTTTTAATTTAAAGTATATGCTCTCCACCTCAAATTAGTACTGCAGTGTTTTGCCCCTGTACATCACACTTTTCTGTTAGCAATAGAATCATGCTGATCATCTATCTAACTCCTTTCAGGTGAAAATTTTTGAACTGAAATAACAATGACTTCTGGCTTATATCAAAGTTCATATATAGTTAATTGGGGCCTCCTGCCACTAAGCTTTCCATATCTGTCTTGAATTTCATTTATCTAACACCATTCAAGGTTAAGGAAAGACAGATGGATGACAGTGGAAATTTATAAATCTACAATTTTTTCAAATTGCAGCACAATCAATTTTTGTTTGATTCTTCAATATTTTTTCTATATACTAAAAGTTATAAGTTTTTAGCATATGATAATGTCTGCCTTTTCAAACTGCTCAAAATCAACCTTATTACAGTTTTCTATTGATGTCAATGCAAATTATTATTCAGTTCTTTACACTTTGCTTTAGCTGAGATAATTGCTTTGGTCTGTTCATTCTGATTTTTGATTTATTCACACAAATCTATTTATTGGATGGATAGTTGCAATGCTTCTATTTCCCCTAGTTATCTGTCCTCTTAGATTAGAATTCAAAATGTATTCATAAATGTATCCAAGATGTGTGATGTTACTGGTTAAATTAAAAATAAAAACTTCTTGAGAATCAATACAGTGTTTACAGCAGTCATAAAATTTTCCAAAGAACTGATAAGCTTCTGCTGAGATCTCAGATAGTCGGTCAATCAGTCAGTCAGTCAGTCAGTCAGTCAGTCAGTCAGTCAAAGTCTTTTGGATGAAAGAATTATCATCAAAACTAATGTCTTTTAAGTTCAATTTTAATTTGGAAAATCCAAAATAGTCAGCTGAGGCCTAATCAGGTGAACACAGTGGATGTCAAGTACTATGATGCTTTTAAATACTAAAAATCTGACTACAGTAATACCCCAAACTTATGTGATAGGTGGGACCGAGCAATAACTGCGTAAGTCAAATTCGCGCAAGTCGGGGTGTAATTTCGCAATTTATGTAAAATCCAAGTTGGATGTATGTACGCTAATAAATGTTCTTGTTTATCTCATCTTTTGATTCATTCTCAGTTACAAGAAATCACCACATAGAGTCTCTCAAGTCTTCATAGATATAACAAACACAGAAATAAATTGTAGCTATGTGTCAATTCCATGTGACACGTCCGAACATGTAAGCTGAACAATAGTGTGGGGGGGGGAGTGAGTAATCAAGAGTTATGTGGCGCTCAAACAAAAGACAAATCAACGAGATTTGAAAATCACATAACTCCGGGTTCGCATAAGTTGGGATAGCGTAAGTCAAGGTATTACTGTACTTGTTTTTTGATCTTTACGACAGTGCATTATCATGCAATAATGATCAGTTCCTTAGTTTGCAATATTAAGGTTAAACACTGAATATAACCCACAAATGATAACAGCAAATAGTAATTGCCATTAACAGTTTGTCTCATAGGATAAATTATTTATAAATTAGGCCATGATAATAATAAAACTATGAGCATTGTTTTTACTTTATTATTCTGCAGATTCACTTTTTCCTCAATGAGACTGGGTTAATCCATTATAAGCTCTGGCACTTAATTAATTAAAAGTGCATACCAAAAACACAATATCTTGTTATCAATCACAATGTTTTTAAAGTTTGAAACATTGTCAGCCTCTCTGACCATGTCCATTGTGTACCATGTTCCACTCTGTGCAGCATTTAGTCATCAGAAAGTTTGAGGAAGGAAGCATGCATAGACCTACCTCTTATGTAAATCTTCAGTCAGAATGTTATGGACAGAAAATTTTGTGATCCCTATTGTTTAGCATTATAACTTAATAATAAATTTTCTGTAGAGTAAGTGAAATATTTATGAATCTTGGAAATAAAACGTTTAAAAATAATATATTATAATGGAATGTAAAAAATACTTCAAATTTCCTGACACATATATATTTTAAACTAAAATATATTGATATATAACTAAATATAATAATATAAATGAAATATAACTAATATGTATACAACTAAAATTTATAATTTTTCAAAAATATACAATATATATCAACTTGTCAATTATGCTGACTTAATGGATACTGGGCTTGACCATAAGTTACAGTGTCATCTCCATCTACATTTAAATCTTGATCATCATCATCGTCATCATGTTTACCAACCTGATAGCCAGATGCTTAATTAATAAAATATAAGCAAATAAAATATTAATAAAAATAACAAATAAATAAATAAAAGATTCAACAAATTACTTAAAAACTACTATTTCTACAAAAATTAGAATCAGTAACAAATATATTTGGCACTGACTATGGATGATGGGCTTCATATCATCCATATTATCAATATTTAGTAGTAATGTTGAATTATTAATTTTAAAAAATGATGCATTACATAATTATAAATAAGTTATTTTTATTTTGCCAAGAAATAAAGATAAAAAATAAACTGATTTCTTGTCTTTACATAAAAAATTTTTTATATCATGAAAATTAATTTCAAATAAAAAAACTAATATTTATATATATAACTAATAATAAATAATAAAATCCAATATTTAATAATTAAAAATAATAAATTAAAATTAAAAATTAAATTAAATTAAAAAGCTAATTATTTTACTTTTATTTCTCTATAAAATTTTAAAAACATTTTATCTTTATAGTTTTACTGAAAATAAAGATGTCGACAGCTCTATTCTTTATTTTACTTGNTATATAACTAATAATAAATAATAAAATCCAATATTTAATAATTAAAAATAATAAATTAAAATTAAAAATTAAATTAAATTAAAAATAATAAAATCCAATATTTCTACTTCTTGATGGCATTCTTAACTTAAAGAATTCATTTTAAAAAATTATAAATATAAAAACTTTATACCTGAAAAATAAAGCAATACCTGAAAATCTTCCATGTAAAAGTGATGTTGCTCTAATTCGAGTTTGACCTGCCCATTCATATTCTTCATAAAACTCATCTTCTACATCAACATTTTCTTCATCTGATTCAGTTTCTTTCTACAGATTTACATTGATGTTATATTAAAATTTTTATTATAAAATAACTTTTATGTAAAGAATCTTATTTTAATAAAATTTCTTAAAATATTATTAAAGATTAAAGTTATTGTGTTTCCATTTTTAAAGGAATAAAAAATGTTTTTGTAGTAAAATCTTTTTTTATCCAGGATTTAGTAAACAGTAAATTTAGCTACAATTTGCTATAATTAAAATAGTCTATATATAAAAATTAATTGTAATAATAATAATTTAAATTTTGAAATTTATATTCTATTCTGCAATCTGTAATTTTGTTGTTATTAAACTGACTATTCAGTAAAAGTATCAATTTCCTAAAATAATTAGTTATGAAGCTTCAATTTCTTCCTATTCTTCATAAATTAACATATTTTGCACTTTTTGTCTGTATAATTTAGATGCTCCTCACTTGTTTTCAAACTAAACTTAATGACTGTTCATAAACCTCTTTCAATTTTTTACTACAGAGTAGTGATAAAAGTCTTTTTCCAACTGATTATTTCAAAAAAAACAAAACAAAAAAAAAACAAAAAACAAAATACTACAACCATTTCAAACTTTATGTCAATGGGTACTAAGTGAACCTTAATATTGATGTAAGAAATCTGAGAGATCTAGTGTATATATGTATGTGTATATACAGTATATAGTCTACTATATTTATAGTTTTCATCTATTAAACTTTATAATATTAAACAAAATTATCATAAGTTTATAATTAAATATTTTGAATTTTTTTTGCTCAATATTGGTATATCTTTTCTAAAAAAAATAAAAATGTAATTAGTGCCTTTGAAAAAGAAGAATTATACTGAATATCTTAGATAATGTTTCTTATTTTTCACCTAAAATTTTATTAAACACAATAAATACAATAATTATACTATTTTATCTAATGCTGTACTACTCAATGAATGAAAGCTCAATAAATGTTTTATTTTTTAAACTTCAATGTTTAAAAAAAAAATTATTCATATATTAAAAAAATAACTTTAAAAATAATTGTTTCTTAACATATTTGTAATATAGTAAACCATTAGTGTGAATTTGGAACTTTCATGTTAGCTTCCATGCTTGTCTATTAGTCAATCACCACAGTAAAATACAATATCTGGCTGAACTATATTTTTATATTCAAAAATCCAAATCTATCCAATCTTAAAACTAACTTGGTAAAGATAGTCTTCTTTGCATGAATTTTAAAGAATAGAATTTTGATTTCTAACTAGAAGGCTAGAAATTATTACCATTCAAAACTGATGCAAATTTATTTGTTTTCTATTAGTCTTGGCATAAATGGTCTTTACATTTGCAATGCTTACACCAAGAACAAGTTCAAAAAACATTTCTTTTAATGTGAGCACAGGTGATACAGGTGATACAAATGAAATTTTTTAAATTTCATTTGTATCACCTGTATTTAAGATTAACTTATAATAACTAAATGTCATAAATCATGTGTTAATACTTCAAAAAATATCATTATAATCTAATCATTATAAATAATAGTTTGGTATTCTAAAACCAATTTTAAATGCACCAAATCTAACAAATAATATATATGTTTTGGGAGGGGACAGATTCTTCAATTGCTAATATGTTAATACAGAGTGATTAAAATTTATTTCAAATTGAAATAATTTATTTTCATTAAAGCACTAAAAAAATTATCTTTTAACTTGTGCAACATATGAAATGTTTTTTTTATTTATTTATTTTGGAGATTACTTTCACTCATCATCAGGAACATGAACACGAACACAGAACAAAAGAATAGAATATTTGTGTTTCATTTTTGTTATAGATTTTTCATTATTCTTACATTTGTTATGTCAAACTTAAGGAAAACTAATACAGTAGAGCATCATTTATCCAAAAGTCAGTTATCCGAAACGTCGATTATCCAAAAGAATTCCAGTCGGCAAATTTAAATTTTCGCTAGTGCTGTGGTCGCGCTGCAATCTTTGGCTATATCTTGGGCTACTCCAATATTTTTTTTGTTGATGCATATGTTTTAGCTGGCAGCACTAGCACTGTTGTGTGGTGTTTTTCTGAGGACTGTGTGTCATGCTGAATCGAACGTTTTTGATTAACTTCTAAAGTATAATTTTTTTTGTTTTTATATTTTTCAATATATTTATTTTGTTTGTAAAAAATAAAAAAATAATTTTTAATGATACAATAGCCACGATTATTATTTTAAAAAGTTTACATTAGGCTTAACATCGACAAAAATTCAACGCAAAGCAACACGCAACGGAGAAAAATTTCAATACGGGATAGGTTAATGTATTTTTTCGTACATAATCGGTTATCCGAAAAATAAGTTATCCGAACAACCCCAGTCTTCTTCCTTTAAAATATGATATTCCAAATAATGAGGATAAACGATGCTCTACTGTATTTATATATATATAACAATATTAAACCATAATAAATATTTCATAAAATATAACTGATTTCTTCCTTTAAAATATGATATTCCAAATAATGAGGGTTAAATTCAGACAAAAGAAAGTTAAAGTAAGACGATATTGATGTCTTTTAAATTCATATTAAATGTGAATAAATGAATCTCTATTGTTAATTAGTTAGTCACAGTATTCAACGTAAATTTAAAAACTAAATTTTTGCTCCTAGTGGAAAAACATACTGGTTTTTTTTTTTACTAAAAGATTTTAGTTTACATATTGCTATTATTTACATTTTAAACAGCAGTTAATAATTAACATTCAAAATGTAACACTTATTCATTTAGGAGAGACTCAAACTGTGAAGTCTTCTGTATAATATTTTAAATGCATTGTGAAATAAATCCCAAAAAATGGTCAAGACTATTTTATTAGAGCTAAACTTTATATTAAACTCATTTTGACATAGTCCTCTCTAGCTAAAATTTTGCAAACGAAAAGGCATAAATAAAAATTGTTCTTGTGAAATACTTTATGTGTAATTAATGTGTAATTATTGGGTTGTTTGGAAAGTTTATAGCAATTTTTCATAGCTGACAGTTGAGACCCTACATGGAGCAAAAATTATTAGAATTGTATAAATCAATGAATATTACAAAAAATGTTGTTATCCATTATAAGACAAATTAAATATCCATTATAAAAAAGTTGCTAAGTTAATTTAAATAATCTTAATGAATTTTTTGTAACAGATATTTAATTTGTCTTGTTGTGAAAATGGAAGCAAGCAAGTTGCATTTTCAACACTTATTTCTTTGCAAAAATGCCATACAAACAGTGACAGAAATATGTAATGTTTATAGTGAGGATGTTGCAGTAGAGTCAACTATTTGAAAGTGGTTAACTAAATTTAACATAAGCAACTCCAATCTTGAAGATTGGCTGTTATTAAAGAGGACCAGATGAAAACATTACTGGATGACAATCCTCATTACACAACTTGATGGAAGACATAGTGAAGTCATTGAACAATATTGTATTTCAACATATGAAGAAGCTTGAATATATGAATTGTTATAGTATTTGGACACCTCACAACTTAATTGAAAAGAACTTACTGGATCACATCTCCATTTATGATTCTCTTCAAAAATGAAATAAAAATGGCCCTTTGCTAAAATGTCTTGTGACAGGTGATGTAAAGTGCATCATTTATAATATCAAGTAAAAATGATCTTGGGGCAACAAAATGAACCATCACTAATAGCTCCATGGGTCAGTCTTCATCTGAAGAAAGTCATGCTCGCAGTCTGATGGGATTGAAAAGGAATTCTGTACTAAGAACTGCTTCTACAGAATCAAACAATCGATTCTGATAAGTATTTTTCCCAACTGGAACAACTGAAGATGGCAATTGAAAAAAAAACATCTGGAATTGACCAACAGAAAAGGCATTGTATTTCATCAAGACAATGCCAGACTGCACACTTCTTTACAAACATACCAAAAATTATTGGAACTAGGCTAGGATGTTTGCCCCCTCCCCATAGTCATCTGACCTTGCCCTGTCAGAATGTCATTTGTTCCAGGCTATGCTGAATTCCCTTTGTAATAGAAACTTTGATAATTTGGAAGCTTACAAAAACCACATGAAACAGTTTTTGTTGGAAAAACTAGGAAGTTCTATGAAGATATTATGAAGCTTCCCCAGATGGCAAAATGTCATTAAAACAACAGTGCATACATAATTGAATAAAATTATGTTTTTAATTTTAAAACTGTTTAGTTTACTTCTCTTCAAAATCTCAATATTATCATAAACTGACATTTCATGTTGTAAGTTGGTCCTACTTGAATTAAAAATCTAAATCTATAAAATCTACATCATTTTCTTAACAGATTTTTTTGTTCAGTTGCTTTTGTACTTTCTTTTAAATAATAATAATATGCTGCTTGTAATATTTCTCTAATTTTATATTATGAATTCATTTGGTTATACAGATTTTTTCAGAAATTTAAATGTATTATTTTAAAACTTTAACAGATTATCTGAAAGCTTAAAACACCTGTTTATATTGTCATCAAGATAATCAATTATGATTTATGTAAATATCTACTTACTTTTCTTAAACATGATTCTATATGATTATTTATTTCTTCTGAAGTACCAGATAATCGTTCATTGCATACAGAACATGTTTCTTCCATAGGTCTTTTTTTCTTTCCTTTTCGAGCTGCACATATTGGTGATGACGACGCTTTATTAATATAAATGTTTGTTATTAGAAAGTATTTATCTCATATAAATTTGTATAAACTAAAAAATTATTAGTACAATTGACTTATGATTTTCTATGATTAAATTACCCAAATGAGAATTAATTGGAACGTTAAAAATATATCTGCCCATCAAAAGCATGGGATATTACAAAATAATAAACTACAATTAACAATGAAATGTGAATATTCGCTGTAGTTATCTATGTTTTACACAGAAAAACATAGAAGCAATTCAGCATGGAGCCATATAGTTTATCTTAATTATCTGTATTCATACAGAATATTAGAGAAAATGAAGATACTGGACCTATCAAAGAGTGAAGAATACATGGGAAAACAGGTTTAAGTACTAAAAATTTTGATTTAATAAGACTATATATCATGCCTGGGACCTGTAGACAGCTTTGAGTTAATGCAGTTTAACTTAGCAGAGTTTTACTGTATATTAATTTGGATTTCATTATACAGTTTAAATATTGCAAAAATAATTTGAAAATTTAAGAATTCTTTATTTCAAAGTATTTAAAAATTTTGTAAATAAATAATGTTTATAAACTGTTAATAAACTTCATATTCAATAATATAGTTCTGCATTATTACTATAGTAATGTAATGTATCATAGTAATAACGCAAATCAGGTTTACTATATTATTACAAAAAATGCTCAATAACAAAGCAAGAAATATCTTGCAGTCATAGAATATTACACATATATATGGTTTAAAAATTGAACTTGTTCTTCAAGTTGCTTGTGACCAGATGTTTAGTATTTCATTCAAATGAAAATATTAATGCTTTTATCATAGTCAAAAACTTCAAAACTGTAAAACACAAGAATTAAATTTCATTATTTAAGTTAAGGATAAAAATAAATATATCATATTTTCAAGCCCATGTCAAAGTTAGCTAAAGATGATCAGAGGGATATATGCTGGACCCTTAGTGGAAGGGAAGAAAAAAGTACTTATGCAGACTAATCAAATTTGAATTTCACAGAACCATTGAATTTGAATTTGATACCATTAACATAGTTATAATACAAGTGCCACTTTAATGCAAATCAGGTAATGCTACTTAGTAATATGAAAAAGATTAAAATCTGTTTACCCATTTATACTAAACTAAGAAATTTCTTAAATCCAAGATCATTTGACCAGAGTTAATTAAGGGATCCTGAAATCTGTATGATCATCATCAGATTTTAACTACACAAGTATTTTCAGTTATCATCCATTTTATTGTTTTTTATTTAAAAAATATTCCTAACTTTGAGACTCCTATAATTCATTTTTAAATATAAAACAAGTGTTTGAAAATATTTATATGCATTCAGGTCTTCAATATTAATTCTAATGTAGTAGTTACTGAATTTGAGTATTTTTATTCATACATTTTACATAGTTATGTTAAAATGGATATTGAAAAGCAAATATATCAAAACATACATATCTGTATACATACATGTATGATTGTATATATGTATATGTGTATGTATGTATATATGTATATATATAAAGACTGACTAAATATAAAATTTTTTATAAGAGAATTTTAAAATGTTACATTTACTTTAATAAAAAAGAAAAACTTAGTCATAATACTGAAATTGTAAATAATTTAAATTATATTTACATGCTATTTATTTTTATAACAAAAAGCCATAGAATATAGTTCTAATCTACCAGAACACTAATAAAATTATATATATATATATATATGTAAGTGCTGCCATCTCTTGATAAAACTGAAAAGTACAATGTGAAAATTTAGAAAAATTATACATATGCAAGTAAATGTTAGAATTTAACCATAAATTGAAAGTTTTAATATTGAAATTAATCAAAAATACTCACACAACCACTACATTAGAGATTTACTAGCTAAAAATTGTACTTTAAATATACATTGTATGTATCAGTTAATCCTGTAAAAATTTAAGAATTCCTTACTTTATTTGAAAGTATTTCGAATTGCTGTTTTTTTTCATTGAATCTGGCTATTGTTCCTACAGTTGAATGTCTATAAACTTGGTTAAACAGTTATATCAGAATAATATCAGCAATTGGAAGAACTACTGAAGCATATAAGATAAGATGACCAGATTATAACATTGGTGAAGTGGGAAAAAATTGATGGGGGGAATGGTTGTCTTGTTGAAAAAAATTGTTCTGGAACAACCAAATTTTATTATCAAAGAACGCAAAAATTGTATTGTATTATATTTTTTTAATAAACATTTGTAAATTGTAAATTTCAACATATGTAAAATTTACAAATATAATAAATAGACTATATATACTATTATAAATCTTTAAAATTGTCTATAACAAACTATATTTTAACAATTATTTTAATCCTCCTGTATTTCTTTCTAAATAATAATAATACTAACTTGTGCTACTTTTCCTCTGAATTTGCTTTGAATGTCACTTTATTATTGTAACTTTTTATTATATAATACTGTTGTAACCAAAATGAACTCCAGCCCCACTGCTAGCAATGGAACAATTCAAACCAATGTGTTTACTCTCACTAGTTGTTAGCTTTCTAAGGTGCGACAGACAAGAGCTCTGAACCATGTAACATGCAACAAACAAAATGTTTGCTTGTTTAGAAAGCCTGTGAACATGCGCTGTTCTGTTGCTGCAGCTGCAGCTTTTATTTCCGATGCCCACGCACATCTTGGTACTGATACAGGTGATACAAAATGATATTTATGAATCTTAAACATAAGACATAAGTTTATGACACATAATTGACAAAAACTTAATATTTCCAAAACTTGGGACTTTTTAAAACAACACCGCAGGACACGGGACAAATTGTTAAAAATCAGGACTGTCTCATCAAAAGCAGGATGTCTGGTTACCTTAATATAAGACCATCATCAGATTTTAACTATACAAGTATTTTCAATTTCTAAAATATAAGTAAAATGAATAATGAGATTCCACAACATAGCATAAACCTTTCCTGATCTTTAATTTCAGATAGTATAAATTAAGAATTTATATGGTTTATATTATAGTTTTCAATTTTAGGAGACAATTTCTAAATAAATATAACTTTTTACAATCAATAATAGTCTCTCTCTTACTCTCTCTTAATCAAACTTTTTTAATGTTTATCACATAATAATTTTTGTATCAGCAACTTCTGTGACAAAGTGTTTAATACAAAACTTTATATTTGAAACAGTACTGATTTTAAAATACAGTAGTGTTCACATATGCTCTTGGCTATAAGGAACCAATTTTAAAAGTAAAAATGAAACACTCATAAGAACACTGTAATCTTTTTCTGGTTACAATGAACCCGTATATAACAAACAATATTTGGATTTAAAAAAGTGAAAGCTATCATTTATAATGGATTATGCATACAAAGAATACTCTCAAATTATTACTAGGGTTTTTAAATAACTTTTTCCCCATAACATAATGGGAGTGACATGAAAGGGTTAAACAAAAGGTCATATTAGGTCATGACCTAAAATGACCTAATATGAGAAATGTTGCTTAATTTGGGTATTTTGCTTTTAATTAACTAATTTCAATGCATACATCTATTTACCTAATTCTTCATAACAAATTAAAATTTTTATACTCTCTCTCCAACAGTTTTCTTATTTCACTAAGGTATTTTCTGAGGTTCATAACAATGAACAAGAATTTTCATTTGTTAGTGCTGTAATTTAAATTTTAAATGTTATTTCTTATCTGTTATTAACAGTTAAATGATTTCGTTCAATTTCCCACCTACTTAATGTTTGGAAATTGAAAGTATGTTTTCCATTAGCTAGAAAATTTCAACTGTAAATACAGTGAACTCCCTTATAACAAAAATTCATATAACATAACAAAAATTTTGCGACTAGAACTCATACAGCACGATAAACTGTCCCATATAATGCATAAGATAAATTTAATGTTTTCACATAGTTTCAGATTTTTTGTTTAGGAAAGCAAAAATGTACACTTACCAGTTGTTTACATATGAACAGTGAAGCCAACAGTTTAAAAAAAGAGTTTTTTGTTGCAAATAATCTTTGACCTCCAGTACAAAACAGTTATAAACCAATTTTTAAACATTTTACATGTAATCCATGCTTTTTTATTAGCTCTCCAGTGAACAGGAAGTTTTTCATTACATGTGGATTTAATGTACAAATAATTAACATTGGCTTAGTTATATGTTCTCCAGCTGCTTTAGAACACAAAAGTAAAGTTATCCTGTGTTTTGATGCCTTGAAACCAAAAATGGAAGTCTCATCTTTTACAATATATGTTCTGTCAGGCATTTTTTTCCAATACCATGCAAATTCATCAACGTTATAGACTTGTTCTGCCATATAATTGCCTTCCTCTATAATTTTGGAAAAATGTTTGGGAAATCTTTGACCCTTTGTGATAACAGTTAAAATTTAGAGTCATGTTTGAACTTGCATAAATTGGTCCGATAATGTATGTCCCCTATAACATGATTTCCTACAACACGGAACGTATCCCCTGCATTGTACAGGAGTCTACTGTAACTGTACAGTAGACTCCCATACAACGGATTTCAAATTTGAATTTCAAAATCAAACTGTCACAAAATTTAAAATTTATGCTGTTATTGGTTAGAAAAATTCCATTCACTGACATTGTCTATAAAGAATAACAAACTGTGTATAATCTTGAGACATTTTGATTTTTGTCATTCGCTAAGTCAGAATTACGAAGTACTGTGCATATGTCCTTGCAAAATATGATGACTCTAAGCACTAATCAGTGTAAACAGAAATATAAGTCATTTACGTTACAGATTAAATATGAAATTATTAAAAAATTGAAAAGTGGTGTAAAGCAAAGCAAATTATGTAAAAAAATGAATATAACTAAATTGACAGTTGCTACCATTTGGAAGGAAAAAAACAAAATACTCGCAAGTTTCACACATGATAATTCAAATGCTAAAAAGCTTAGAAAATTAGCA